ACAAGAATGCCTTGAATGTCATCATAAACCATAATTGTGAGATGGAAGAGAGAGGTGACTGCAGTGGCACAAAATGCACTAACTGAATAAATGATGATGTATTTTAATACAAAGCATTAATATCCATCACCTGATCAACTAGAGATACCAAAAATGTACAATTTTTACCAAGCTGGAGATTTTCAAAACCGTATCTCATAACAAGTACTAAGAAGGCTAAATTTGGTATCATTTGAAAAAGAAATCGGTTTACTTTCATGTAAAATTAACTTTTAACACTTGATTTTCAACAAGTTTTTAGATATATCAATGTAACTGAACTAGAATCATATATTCAAATTTTTCAACAACTGAAATCTCTTAAGAACTGATTGTATCACTGATCAGTGGTGGATTAGCCAGAGTGTCATCTTGTTTGATGTCATGTGGGCCCCAGATGGAGTGGACCCCTATATCAAATAAAAATGCAATAAAGAAACAAACACTGATGACTGTTTTAGTAAGAAAAAGGAATAAGAACTTTATAAAGTCATCAGCACACTATCAGTTCCTCAAGTCCAGGGTGAGACAATATTTTCAAAGCTAAAGATCATAAAGACACTGTTAAGAAATTTGCTGCTTGAGGAGCATTTGGAATCATAAATGTAACTAGCTATTTAAAAGGAATTTTTTTAGACAAATTTGACACAGAAGCAGTTATTGGCAGATTTGCACAATCATCGATTTAACACAAAGGCTTGCTCTTAATATAGTGGACTGCATTCAATGCTCTATTGTACTTTTGAAATAACTGTTAATGTGTAAATAGTGCAGTAAACTTATTCAAAATTATCAAACTATTACTTAAAATATAAAATTCTGTATTTACATTTGGTATCTACTGCCAGTAATTTGTACAGTACATGCATACCATTACTAAGAAATACACATTTTTCCACAAAAATTTTAATTGTACCCTTTTTTCCATATGTATTTTTTAAAAATTTATTTATTCATTACAAAATTTAAATGATAGCATTGTACTTGTGTGTGGACACTTTTTGTCTCCTGGCAACCAATATATATAGACCCAGTCTACCACTGATCACATATACAGATCATTCAGTCAGTTATGTGCCATACATGATACATGCTTAGGCGATTATGTATCTTTCAATACGTGACTGACGAGGCAGATTTTTTCCTGCAGGAGGTTGCCATTTCTTTCTGTGGTTGCCATCCAAGGCAATAGAACCCAATCTCTCCTGCTATTTACCCATAGCTGGGGGGAGGAAAAGAAGAGGATTCTTACCTTTCCCAAGGGTATTAGTACATAAGTGAATGTAATAATTCAACTGGAATTCAAACTCAGCTCTCTGATTCCTCAATCCGATGTAAACGTTAAAAGTGTATGAAATAGAGAATTCGGCTACTTTTAACATTTACGGGTGAGATTTTATGGATTTTATGGTAAGCATTAATGGGTTATAGGTCAGTCTGTTATATGCCATGCATGATACATGCTTAGGTAATCATATTTTTTTTTAAACATGACTGATGGGGCAAATTTTTTCCTGCAGTAGGTTGCCATTTCTTTCTGCAATAGACCAGTTTCTATCCAAGGCTATAGAACCCAGTCTGTCCTGCTATTTATTCATAGTTGGGAGGAGAAGAAGATGATTCATACCTTTCCCAAGGGTATTAACATGTAAGTGAATATAATGATATAGATCATTATGTAAAGTATATCAGGTTATCCCATAAGTTCTGTCCGAATTTTGAATAAAGAAAACAAGTGACCAAATGTTACATTTACTTACAAATTCAATCAACAATGTATTTTCCCTGATTATCTATGACTACCTTCCATCTATTAACAAGCTTACTAATTCCATTACTGTAAAATTCTTTTAGCTTTGATTCGAAGAACTCACAAATGTCAGTTTTAACCGCTTCCTGTGTTACAAAAGCTGTTTCTTCCAAATGATTCTGTAAGCTACGAAACAAATGGTAGTCTGAAGGAGCAAGATCGGGAGAATAAGGTGGATGAGGAATTTTCTCCCAACCAAGTTCTTCGATCTTTTGTGACATGATTCTTGCTGTGTGGGGTCACGCATTGTCCTGATGAAACATCACCCCTTTTTGATTCACTAGAGCAGGTCTTTTTTTTCCTCAAAGCTTGGTTCAAACACTCTAATTGCTGACTGTATATTTGAGCATTAATTGTTGCATTAGGTGGTAAGAATTCAAAGTGGATTATTCCTTGGCGATCCCACCAGATTAAAAGAAGAACCTTTTGCTCATGAAGTTCGCTTCTCGGCTGTGGCTGGGGTCCTTCCCCTTTACCAATCCACTGTCTACGATGCTTTACATTTTGGTAAAAGATCCATTTTTTGTCGCCAGTCACAAGTCTATCCAAAAAAGGTGAAACAAGTTGGCGAGAATGGAGAGAAGAGCAGATGTCAACTGGGCATTTGAGGTTGTTTTTAGACAATTCATGATGCACCCATTTTCCAAGTTTAGGAACTTTTCCAAGTTGTTGAAGATGACAATGAACAGTTGTATGGTTTGAACTGCGAAACACTGCCAATTCCTCAACTGATAATGCAGGATTTTCTTCAAGGGCTGCTCAACTGGATGTCCGGTTCGATCTTCATCTTCAAGGGTGAAATCTCCACCTCTGAATTTTGCAAACCATCTTCTGCAAGTTCTCTCATTCACACATTCCTCTCCATAAACTGAGTGAATGTTTCTAGCTGCTTTGGCTGCTGAGTTTCCTTTCTTGAACTATTAAAGCATTATGTGCCTCAAATGATTCTTGGGTACTTCCATGTTAGCAGGATTTTAATCAAACAAAATTTAATTTTATTGTTCTCTGAAATAAAATTTGATCAGTTTAAATGCATCTAAACATAAAAATAATGTTCAGCTCCATTAGACATTATAAAATACTCTTTAAATTTTGTTCATTTTAACAAAAAGTTAAAATTCGGACAGAACTTATGGAATGACCTGATATTTAGGAGGTAAGAATTTATTCACAAATGTTGTGGAATTCAACCAACAAGGTCTCTTTGTTTAATTCTTTCTTATATTTTTCTGATTTTTACCTAATATTTATATCTAAATCAAAACTGTGAAGAAACTGTTAAAATGTTCAAGTACTTTTGGCATCACAGTGGAATAATTCACTTACATGCTAATACCTTTATGAAAGTTATGAATCCATTTATATTCAGATTATTGTCCTCATCTATGTTGTTGCTATTACAATGTTTCAACCATCATGTGTGCCGGTCTTCATCAGGTGTATATCAGTCTAGTTAACCTACAGGAAATTCTTAGCTGAACACTTTATTTAATTTATGGGGATAGACTATTCTTGTTCCACTGCTAATATCTAGGATATATCGTCTATAGTCTGTCTATATATCTGAGATGAGGTATTATGTACAGTATTTACATTAGTCGGACTATTGTCCACGTGGCACGTGGAACTAGAACAGTCTACCCCAGTGATCAAAATAAAGGGTTCAGTTCGAAATTCCAACCACCTGAAGAAGGCCGGAGCGTACAACGGCCGAAATGTTGTGACAAATATGGTGACAAAGATGAGGACAATAGTCCGACTAATGTAAATATGGTATATATCGTCTAGTTCTTATTTTTATTTAGTATTGTTCTGTTATTGATCACCCAACCCAGGGATTGAACTCACAACAGCTATGTCACCAAATTAACAAACCAACACTTTTATCCACTTGAGGAAGGCTGGAGGGCACACTGGCTGAAATGTCCTGATAACAACAACAAAGGTGAGGACAATAGAATAAAAATAAATAGTGTAAATAATGATGACTGCTCATCCCAGAATTTCAGACAGAGAATAGAGGCTGTTTCAAATCACATTTTATGACTGAACCAATCTGCGAATCTTTAAATTAAATTTGAGAATAACATGATCAGAATTATCATAAAAGGATGGAGGCAGAGAATCTCTTTCTTACACCAGTCTAGTAATGGCTGCTGTTGCTGTTGATGACATATGGATGCACATTGCATTTTATATATGCATAACTCGAGTTATTATTTTTTAATTATAGTGATATGATCATTGTTATATTTATCAAAAGTGACATAGTGATTCTTTTTTTTTCAATTGTTAATGTCATTGAGTGCATTCTGAGAATGTGAAATTCTCTATTGAAATGACAAGAGAGCAAATGATAGTCTCAGAAAATGAGCAAAGCATTTAATGCAGAAATTAATGCAATTGTTTCTAAGAATAATTTAAGACTGTTTCATCTCTCTCTGTCTCTCTTTCTTTTTTCTTTTACCTTTCCCTTCCTCATTCCTTTAATTTATTTCTTTTCTTTTTCTTTCTCTATCCACTTTCTTTCAAGAATTCCTTATTTTATGCTCTCCTGCCTGACATCCTATTATTATCACTAATTCTTTCTTTCTATTTTTGTAATGCTTTCTTTCTTTTTTCTTTATTTTTACGCTCATCTTCTTTCTTCTCTAAAGTACATTCTTTTCTTTCTTTCTTTTTTTTAATCAATTCATCCCAAGCAAGGCAATAATTCCACTAAGATGCAAGGGGCTACCAAGAGTGAAAGACAATGAGAAGACTTTAGAAGGAACAGGAAAACCAATCCTAAAGAAGAAATCAGGAATAAACCTCTACTCCTGTTCAAAAGATCGAGGAGTGTGTGAACTGGATGATAGGCAAACCTATCTACACATTTTAATTTTCTCTTTCTCCTTCCAATTATGTACACTCTATTAGATATATTTTCTGAGATTAGTCTGACACAAGTCTCAAAAGTGGGAGCATTCAGTGAAGATTAAAATCATTAAATTAGTAAATGTCTGCAAGAGAAATTTGTTCAGCTAAGTGCTGAGGTATTAGTAGTAGCTTAGTCTGACATATGGTTACAAATGTAGTGTATGTAGGAAAGCTTGAACTTGCTATACAGGATTAAGGGTCTTTTTGATTAGTTCATTAACATTACTCCCAGCAAAATGATCTATTTACTTTTATCCTTTCCATTTCTCCCTTTCTTTCTTTCTTTCTTTCTTTCTTTTTTTTAATCTTTCCTTCCTTCTCTATCCAAATAACTCCATCTCCTGTCATTCTTTACTTTATCACTTTTTCTTATCTTCTTTTATTAATGAATCCTTCTCTGATGATCTCTTTGTTTTTCTTCATTCTTTTCATCACTATCTTTCTCTTTTTTTTCCCCCTTAGATCTCTTTCTCTTATTACTTTCTTTCTTCTCCCACTAACAATACTAGTAACACATCTAAAACAATTCCCTCAATGGATAGCTAATGTCATTTCAAGTGGAAATATGTTCCCTGTAACCACATTATTTATGTCACATGGGTACACAACAATTGTGTTTTGCTTTGGTGTAGTATCTCCAAAGAAGTCATTTACCAAGAAAGAGTCCTGATTAGTCCAGACACAGAGAATATCAGCCTCATTCCTCAAATAACCCAACCAAAGTTGGAATCACATCATTTTATAACAAAATATGTTTGAGAAGAATCATGGGTTGTTATAGATGTTGTCTAAAAAAATCCACTGCCAGTATATGTAACCCATATAAATGTTTAATTTTTTTGTTATAGTTGTTGAATAAATTCATCAAGTAGAGCCAACTCTCTTTTACTCCAACAGCTTCTTATCTCGCACTTCCCATCTGTGGAACTCCCTTCCTCTTACTTGCTTCCCTGATAGCTATAATCTTCAACTATTCAAATGTAATGTCAATCAACATCTTCTGATGCCTTGATCTTGTGTCCCCGTCCTTCTCTTTATCCTTTCCTCAAACACACCTCTTTAGTCTTGCTCTCACTCTTTGCATGCTAGTGTCACACCTGTCTTGCTTGGGGTGAAATGATTAAAAAAAAATGTCTCATAATGTTATCACTGTTAATTCTTGTGGTTCATAGAGTTAAATAATATTAAACTAAATTACTGTGCTCCTGGGTGGTAATTTTAAATACTCTAAATATATCACCAAACTCATAAAACAAAATACAATATCCAGATATATTTTTTACATAAAAATTTCAATGAAAAAAAATATTTAAAATATTTTCTTTTTAAGTCAGGCTCAACAAAATTCATCAATATATTTGAATGCATGATTGATAGCAGTTTAAAATCATGACCATTGTATTATCTGAGTATCAAGGATAAAAATATATGAAACTGACTGCAAAGGAAAATGCTGTCTAGCATGAATAGATTATTATATGAAAATTTTAGTGGTGACTTGCTTATATACCAAACATCAAAGATTTTAAAATTCAAGTTTTAACTAATGCAAATACAAAAACAATTTTATTTAATTATTTTTCATTTGAAATTAGTGATTGATTGAATGATTCATTCATTTTTATGGCTTATCAACCCTTTGCAGTTTATTTAAAGCCAGAAAATATTTTGAGATTTTTGTTTAGGATAATAATGGTTTAGTGATACAAGTCTTACTAATTAACCTATAGCTGGGGGTGAAGAGGTGGATTCATACCTTTCCCAATGGTATTTAAATGTAAGTGAATACAACAAAACCAATGGGAACTGGAACTTAGCTCTGTTATTAACAATTCTGAGACCTGATATTCCCAAGACCATCTAGGTACTGACCAGGTTTGATGTTGCCTAATTTCAGTGGTCATATGGGAACCACTGTTTCAACATGATATGGCCATAAACCCTGAACTTAGTGGGACTGGCTGGTTACATTCAATGTCTCGAAAATCAAAGTAGTTACATTCTCTCATCGCCAACTGGACCCTGAACATTAATCACAATGAATGGATGTTGATTCAGAGAGGCTCTGTACTTTGAAAGTCTGTTGAGCCTTAAACTCAACCCAGACCTCAAGAGGAGCTTGTATATGTACCATCGCTAAAGATGTTGGAAAAATGGTCAGTTCCTTGGGCCACCCCAGTAAGTACCTGACTCCTCCTGCTACCCTGTACCTTTACAAGAGACAGATCAGGATGAAAATGGAGTACTGCTTGCACATACTGGCTGGAGCTGCCCAGTTTTCACTTTTCAGTCTCGAGAGAGTCCAAATCTGTCTCTGTGTGGTTGTGGGGGAAAAATTATTTTACACTTTACATGAAGAAAAGACAACCTCACAGAGTCACAAGTCACTTGCTGTTCTATTGCTATTTTCATGAAAAGTACTCAGACAAACTACATTCATTAGTTTCACCAGTTCCTGTCATGCCACACACATTATAGTGAACCACCCTCATTCCTTGTGTATTCCAACTGTGACATGTAAGTTCCACTCAAGCAGTTTCTTCCTGCTAACTGCTGCTCTGTGGAACCAACTCCCTAGAGGATGTTTTCCCAGTCACTACGATCTTAATCTGTTCAAGTCTAAGATTAACCATTATCTTTCCCATATATCCACGTAAACTGTGCCCTTACTCTCTTCCTCCAGCCTTCGTCTTCTTTCTATGTGCCATGTCCCTTCAGGACATGTGTGATCATGGCTCTCCACAATATCCTGTCTTTTGTAGCTCTTAGTAAATTTTGTCTTTGATATCTCTACTAATTCCTGTTTTGCTAACCATTTACTCAAGCTCATTAGGCAGGTTATGTGCTGCTTTCCTCTGGCCTGCTTGCTTACAATCTGTCCCATCAGTGTCAAGTTTTCCAAGACCTCTTTCCTCATTATGTTCACTAGAAATTTCAACTATTTCTTCCTGATGTTAAGTATATGTGTTCATTTTACTTCTCTTTTCAATGGTATCCTCAACATCCTTCCGTAGAACCACATTTTTGTTACCTCACGTTTTTTCTTCATCTGTAAGGAATTTATCCAGCATTCACTGCCATATAGGAAGAGCAATATTACATAACTTTTAAGTACTCTTTGTTTCTAAAGAAATTTTCCTGTTTCTTAATACTTTGTCCAACTTTTGGAAGTCATCTTTTGTTATCCCAATATACCTTTGGATTTTGGTGTTGCATTTTCTGTCCTCTATTAATACACTTCCTAAATATTTAAATTTTTATACTGGATTGATTTTGATATCTCCAATTTGTAACTTTTTTAATCCAGATAACATTAAATTAATTTCAAAATGAACCCTTTATTTAATTTATGGGGTTACAAGGACAATCTACCCTTGTAGATTGTTATGGGACCTGACCCATAATAACATAATGGACTATTCCATATGTAATAAATACTGTGCCTCAAGAGGAAGCAAAGAGTTCAGTCTGAAGTCTGGAGTGAGGTCCATCAGAAGTCCGTCAGGAGTCTGTCAGAGCGAGCGAGTCAGTCAGTCGAGTCAGAGGCAGTCCAGACAGAGTCGCGTTCAGACAATTACTATTAAACCTGATTGTTCGTACTAACTTTCTACTTCTCTGTATATATATTCCTGTTTGTAATATATCTGTGCTATTCCATATCCATGTTCGAGTTCTTCTTTATTGGTTCTACCTTGGACTATCACTGTGGTACAAGGAACCAGACCATAACATAGATCAAATAAATTGTTCTGTGGTTATCAAGATTGACAAACATCTGATGAAGGCCAGAGGGCACAATAGTTGAAACATGTTAATAACAATGAAGATGAAGACAATGATCTGGATGTAAATAACTGATGTTTACTCTTGCAAGAGTCTTTATAATGCTAAACCCCCAAAATACCTTGTCACTCTGTTCATTGATATCAGTATATACATTTCTTTCCTGCTATGTAACCCAGAATACTGAAGAGAGTACCACACATGTTGTCAATTGATATTCAGCTGAAATCAGCAGTTATTACTGGTATGAAAACACAATACAAATTAATGAAAATAGTAACAAGATAATGTTGACTGTAGAGTTTCATAAATCAGTCAAAATTGAATTATTTTTTAATGTAGAGAATGCTGAACAATTTTCTCACAGGTCAGATCATCTATAACATTAATCCTTTACACAAAGACACACATATAAACCAACACAAACTGTTATTACTCTTTTAGTACTAATCTGAATTTCTTTCCCAACCTTTTGTTTAAAGTACTATGGAAAGTGAACATGCTGATTATATCATTATTTTCTCTTTTAGTTAAGGAAACAGGGATGTGGTTCTGTAGAATGATGATGTGAAAATCATAGACAAAGCATGTAAACAATAAGGAAGTTTATACTTAGAATCAGAAAGAGTTGAAATTTCTAGGACACATAATGAGGTTTAGAAAATTTGACTAAGACAGATCAAAACAGGAATTAACCTAATAACATGTTTGTATAATTGGATAACAGAACAGGTAATGGGAGGGGTAATAAAAAGACAAACATAGTTATGTCCATACAAACGATAGGAAGTTGTGGAGAATCATGATTGCTCATGTTCTGAAGGGAGATGGCATATAGAAGAACAATGTTTTTTTTAAAATTTTAAACTAAAGAAGAACAAAAATTAAACTCCAGAATTCTGGTATTATTTCAAGATAATTTCCTGTGAACATTTTTGCTAGCATTGTTCTTTTTTTAAAGTTATTTTTATATTAAGAAAATATCTGCTCAGAAGAAATAATTTTATTAATAAGTGTTTTTCTTTCCTGGTAGACCTGCCGACGAAATAACCAAAAAAAGAACGGCTTTAACTTGATTTAGTCTGGAATTTATTTTAGAGCATGTCAGAATTACGAAGCCAAACTTGGATAAAAAATAAGTTGTCATGTTTTAGTTCCATTGGTCTTGATATTATTATAACTTTTTATAATCATAATAATAATAATCTATTATCTATCATAGTGAATGCATCAACATAGAATCATTGTGAAATCCATGATCTTGTCAATATCTGCATAGTATGTACAAGAGCTACATTAGTAATACATTTACATTAGTAATACAATAATTGCATGCAGTCAGTAATGCTGAAATTAATTCCTGATCATTGATAAGCCCTTTCTTCCTAAATTTCAAAACATTTCTATATTAAAATTATTTTCATTGCATTTCTATATTAAAATCCTTAGCAATCCATTTACATGTTATGCATAATAGCTCTATTGTATTAGAAGTGCTTGCATTCATTAGTTCCTGACTATTCCCAATCTCATTTTCCTTGACATTTGACACATTTCTTAATGCAAGCTATAGGACAAAGTAGCCACAAAGAAGGTCCCAAAATTCATCATCCTCAAGGAAGAACTGAGGATATGTAAGCTTCAACAAAGTACCAAGAATATAACAGCTTTCAGAAAAGAATGAGGACACATCAGCCTTGATGTAGACTCAAGGTCATATCAATTTCCAAGAAGGCGCGAGAACACATCAGCTTCAAGGAAGACCTAAGAACATATTTCTATCACTGAAGACTCAAGGACATATCAGCACTCAGGAAGGAAGGGGGACATATCAGCCTCATCAACTTCCAGGAAGCCATGGGAATAGATCAACCTCAAGAAAATATT